TCTCACTCATTCTACTAAATCACATCACAGTGTCTGCCACTATTTAGACTCACAACTTTATTTTTACAGATAGGGAAATAGAGGCCTAGATAGGTAAATTGAGTTGGCCAAGTTCTCACAGCTGGTTAAAGACAGAGCTAAGACCAACCTAGGCCTCCCTAACTGAAAATCAGTCTATTTTCTATATAGAGTCAATGCTGTGAATGTAAATTATATCATAAAGTAAAATATATTTCTATCACTCATTAATGTGGCTTTTAATTAAAATACTGGCAGCATTCTTTTAACAATTAGGTGATCTTAAGTAGTGATCATCAAACTCTGGTATGCATTAAAATCAATCTGAGAGCTTGTCGGAGGAGATTGCTGGGTCCTGCTCTCAGAGCAAGTAGTTGAGGGCCAAGGATCTTGGATTTGCACTTCTGACAGGTTTTCAGGTAGTGCTGGTGCTAATGCTGTTTGTCAGGAACCCACTGGCCTAAAGCCAACCTCTGCCAATTCCTGCCATTTGTTCCTGGCCTCTTGTGCCCCATCCACCAATGGAGAACCATAGTTAGATCCCCATCAGGAAGAGTAACCAGTGAACTTTTCTCTGAACCTCCTAGTGTTTCCCACTGGAAGGCTGTTACAGCGTCGGGGTGGAGAGTCTTGGCTTGAGTCAGACCACTTAGGTGTTGGACTCTGTGCTCTAATTGTTGCCTGATCTGAGTAAATCATCTAACATCGAATGGGAATATTTTCTTTAAACTCAAAGCTGTGTAAGGATTAAATGAGATAATGCACAGCAAGTGTTGAATATACTTACATGTGTTATTAATCAGATCAGCCACGGAAAAAATTCTAGTTCTTATAGAAGGGATTGACTAAATCAAGAGAATTGGTTTCTCAAGTGATGGAAGGGCTCAGAGACCAAGCAGGTGCTGGTGAGGGAATGCAAAGGATTCGCAACAGCAGAAAGCTGCTAGCACTCCTTGGGCTGGACTAAAAATGGGAGGAGGCATGGATGGTATAGCTCAGAAGTCAGAGGCTTCTACTGCAAGGGAGAGCTTCCAGGGGTGGCTGAAACCTTGGTGAGAGGGTTTGTCTGGCAAGAGGTGGTGCCACAGCAAGACTCAGGACCTAGAGACCAGAGGGCCAGAGATCCTGGGGATTAGTACAGCTCTCTGCGATACAGAACTGGGGGGTAGGGACAGGAGGAACAGGACTTAGGTTTGGTACTGCCGCACTCTCTATGTTAGTCATTGCTGCCCTGACTCTATTTTGGTACCCTGCTCATTTCCATCACTGGACCATGCCTCCCTGTTCGGGCCCCTTGCTGTGCTGCCACGTTACATGAGCACTGTATTCTTGCAAAGTAGCCTCACTTTAAATTTGCTCAGCAGTGAAAACAAATAGTCAAGTTATTTCACATTAAGAATGATGTGTAATTAGGGGCGCCTGGGTGGCTCAGTGGGTTAAAGCCTCTGCCTTCGGCTCGGGTCATGATCTCAGGGTCCTGGGATCGAGCCCCGCATCGGGCTCTCTGCTCGGTGGGGAGCCTGCTTCCTCCTCTCTCTCTCTCTCTCTCTGCCTGCCTGCCTATCTGTAATCTCTGTCTGTCAAATAAATAAATAAAGTCTTAAAAAAAAAAAAGAATGATGTGTAATTATTTCCTAGACACTACTATGAGAAACCTCGATCTTAAGTGTATTTTAGCTCCCCCTCCAAGCTGCATGTCACACCCCAGGTCACGCTTGGCTATGGTGAACACGGCCTCATGCTGTCCCTGTACCGTGGGTGTTCAGTACATGCCGACCACAGAACAGGGACAGAAACAGCTCCCTTAACAAAACATAGTTTGTCGAGAACAATCCTGAAGGTTTGGGGATGTATGGTGGAAAAGGGAAAGGACTGATGGACAGTGGCCATTATAGCAAGAACATGCTTTGAAATGACATCACCTAGAGGTATTTGTTTTTGTCATTAAGGATGTAGTGAAATTTTGCCAACAATACTAACCCATCGTTCTTGTGACTACTTAGTGTCTTTCTCACTTTACAAAAATGAAATAACGTGCTAATAGGATGAAGACAGGTAGGTGGGAGACTGTGGGAACAGCAGCAACGTTTAAGCAGAAGAGGAAGAGAGCAGGTTTAGAAATATTTCTTCTGTGATAATGGAAATTTCAAACCACAATGTAAGTTTCAAAACAACCTTTATTCTGTTTGAAGACCTAATACAATGCATCAGAGCAACTTAAAACAAGACATAGCTCCACTGAATCTATAGCTTGAACAAAATGTCAAGGAGGCACACTCCCCCAACCCCCCAACCCAGTTGCCTTGTAAAGGCAAAATTACAACTGACCATGACATCCTCCCTCTCGTCAAAAGACCAACTTTATTTTAACAATGTCATATAAACAGATTTGTAAAAACACTGAACAAATCATAGCTTTAAAAAATACACACATATAAATGAGTTTTTTTGTTTTGCATTTTTTTTTTTTTGTAATAGCAGCATCCTGGGCAGCTAATGCTATCTCATGGTGACAAGTTTAATGTTAAGTTGGATAGTGTTTCCAATGAACCCAATTCTGTTCCTTTGCTACTCATAATGCTAGTATTTTATACAAGTGGATTTGTAAAAAATAAGAATTTGGCATTTTTGAACTTTGTCCCATGTGAGGCATTGTGCTTTCAACTGCCCCTTTCTTAAAAGACCCTGAACTCAGATTCCAGGGTCTGCTTTCCAACTATTTGGATACCATGCATAGCAAAAGCACAGGTGTTAAAACCAGCAGAATTTTTCTCCCATTCAGGAACATCAGTAGGACTCCCAAACACGTTACTAGCTCATAACCAGCTACATGACAGAGCACTTGGTTCCCCACAGTGACAGCTCACAGAAACACGTTTGACTTGACACACTGAAAATGAGGATTTCCAAGTAAAGCAAGTCGTCTAGACCAGCTCACCAAAAGGAGGAACTTTACAAAGCAGAGAAAAGCGAAAGAATTATGAACTTCTCACTTCACTTGCAAACAGTTTTCACCTTTAGAAGACAAAACAAAGCCACTTCAAAGGAAAAAAACAACCCATACACGTACACAAGAATTGTACTAGACATGTGCTTGTTATGTACTTGAACTCAACGACTGTGGATCTGTTTTGGCTGAAAGGTGTACTGAAAACAGTCCATGCACATATACATATATACATAGATCAAGGGCCGTGACCTTGTCAGATGTTGCAAACACATGCTTTTTGCCTTCTTACATGGTTAGGATTTTTCTCTTGTGGGTAGTGGGTAGCATCGGGTCCCTGAGCTCCCACTGTCCAGTCCCCTCACAGCCTTGCTGCAGCTAGCCTAGCTTCTGGCTTTTATCTCTAGAATGCTACAGTGCGTGGGGAAAGTCACTGCATGCATAAAAGCGTGTTGTCAGGAGTGCCTCTGCTGTATCCGTTCATACTCATGAGCCACTCAGTGTTATGAGGAGATGACCGATCGAACCCCAAGAGCCCTTCTGGTCACCCATAGAAGGACGGATGTGGTGGGCCTGCACCAAAATCAAAAAAGGCATTTGGCAGAGGCGTGACCTCATAGCTACAGTGTAACTCACTATCAACAGGGAATGATGAATCCTGCCTTTGCTGTTCAGAGAGAAACCTACAGCATTTGTGTCCGTGAGATGCAGAAACCAGGCAGGTGCCTGAAGACCAAGCCGCCTTGGGAGAGTGGTGACCCCAAAAACATGAACAAAGCTATCTTTTAATGAAACAATCTTAGATCTTGTATTTCCAATGTGAAATGAAAATTATATTTAACAGCATCCATGGGTGTGCTACTAAAAAGACCCCACTGGAACACTAGTCTATCAATCACTGTGAAAGCAGCGGCGGGCTCGCGTGGCAAGTGCAAGGATAGTTTTCAAGGCAACACTTACAGGCTACAAGCAGGGCAGTCCTCGGTCTGTGGAGAGGAGAGGGAGACGGTCAGGTCTCAGGGCTGACAGTCTGGTCCTGCTCTTGACAGGAATAGCCCCGTGTAAAGAAGAAAATAATACATTCTACAGATGATGAAGTCAGCTGGTGGACCGGTTATTACAAAAGAATTTTGAAAACTACACTGAAAAACAAAACAAAAAGCCCTCCCTGCAGTATCTGAAATAAAGCCGTGTTTGAATCAATCCTGGCAAAGGAAAACTGCCAATTGTGAGATGCCACTGGAACCTGCCGGGGTTGGGACCATCACACTGATCCTTTATGACTCCCGACACAGGGACGGTGGCCACCACGCAGAAGGGGATCGGCCTGAGTAAATCTGGGAGAGACTCTCCCTCTCGCCCCAAGTTGGATAGGATGCTCTAGGACCCCTGCCTTTCTCCCACGTTGAAGTAGAACACACACAAGGACTTGGATGAGCCAGAAGGGCCGCTGGGATCCCTGTGGTGGCCGTGACTTTCATGAGCTCTCCACGGCCCAGCACAGGAGCAGCTCAGATCATGGGTCTTGGCCGTGTGGTCCCAACTGAATGGAAAGGTGGGAAAATAACAAATGCAGATAAAAATCTTTTTTCAAGTCCGGCTTTTTCTGAAATGAATGTTTATTGGTTGTTAACGGGTAACCTTATGTTAAAAAGACAGTCTAAATGCAGCAATTATACCTTGCGATCAGCGTTCCAAACAAAGGTGAACACTGCCCCAGGAGGCCGACTTTCTTCCTACAAATGACGTTCTCTGACCCGCCGCCACACTGCCTTAGAGTTCCAGTAGGTCTGTCCTTGTCACTCATGTCTAGTAACAAAGCAGATCAGAGCGGGAAAAGACTGAAGTTTAAGTTACTCACTTCTCCATAATCGTTGAGAAAGTGCACACCATCTCGTCCCCCCTCCCTCTGCCCCACCTGTACAGCCCTTTGCTACATCCCCCTCCCTAGATTCAAGTTCACAATTCTTTATGAAACATTACCAGGTACCGTATTTTAAGAGTTTGGAAAGAACATTGTTGAACTCAGAGATACTTTGTCATATTTATATATCTTTCTCTTTTTTATTGAATAAAGCAGCTTTGAAGCTTATCAGGCACTGCCCAACAAAACATTTAGTCCAAAAAATCTGTTAGGAACTTTTTAACCTTGGGCTAATAGCCAAGTACTCTGTACAAGAAAAACCGTAAAATATTTCATAGTTTTAATTCTGAAGCCATTTTTTTTTTAACTGGCATTCTGTACATTTCTTTTTTAAAAAAGGAAAAGAATCACAAATGAATATTAACAATAACAAAAAAATCAGGGACAGTATTTTCAGGCAACAGAAACTAGGGTGGGGAAGCTTATTCTGAAGGTACATTTAAAACGGAGATAACAATGACAATTAAAAATTGCATAGCACTGTGAATTTAGCCTTCAGCAAAACAAAACAGAAGCTATTTGGTATTGATACAAATCCATCTAGTTGATAGTTAATCATCCACTGTTATGTACATATTTTATATAATGAATGTCATTTAAAGTCCTGTTCTCCAAGCTCCGTTTCTCCGTCGTTGGTGGGGTCATTTTTTTTTTTTTTTAAAGTCTAAACAAAACACTTCTGACACTCTGCTACGACAGAATTTCCTCTGACTGTACGTTGAGTGGACGTTCTCCTAAAATGTCTCTCGTGAGCCGAAGTGCCTTTCTGCTACATATCGTTCATTTCTTAGGAAATAATCCACAGTGCGACGTGTCTGGGTCCACCGTGCACAGCAAGGCCCAGGCCCAGCCAGCCTGGCGCGAGCGTTTGCAGGCCGGGGCTCTAGAGCCCGGCCATCCTCTGGTCTCCAAGGTCCCCCACTTTGAGCTGGTAAAGCTTCAGAAAGCATGAACAAGCACCATGGTTAAAGGCCTCTTTGTCCCTGCACGCAGAGATTTTTGCATTTCTTTTTCTCTTTGTGTTGTTGTGGCTTAAATTAAACCAAAAGAAAAGAAAAAAAAAGAAAAAAAAACCTCCAAAAATGTAAGGAAGGACAAGCGCTCCAGATTAGAAACGTAGGGTCACTACTCGGTGCTAGGCTGCGTGTCTTCCCCTGTACTCTTTTGTCAGAAGCTCGAGTCCCATCTGAAGGCAGATGGCTTCGTTTCCGCAGCTCAATGACAGGTCGGGCTGGAGAGGAGCCCTGTGCTTTCCAGAGGCCTCAGGGTGGTTGAACGTCAGGAGCAGGATCTGAGGACAAGTGCTTCATCGCCTCTGCTGTGCGTATACCGGGTAGGCTAGTGTGACGTTGAGCGAGTCATTGTGCTGCACGAGGGACGTGTGTTGGTAATGTAGCACCAGTTCTTTCAGGGAGCTGTACAAGTTATAGGGTTCGGCAAAGCCATAGCCGGTGGCCGTTTTGTTGATGACACAATGCTTGACCTCGCCGTCCACCCTGCAGAGGAGAGAGAGAACACATGCCTTTTGAGCTGGTCCTAGACAATTCTCGACTCCACGAGGTGCCGCTCGTAAAATCTTCATCATGGAAAAGTACACTCCGCAGGCCATCCTCCAGAACGGGACGCCTCCCAGGCTAGCTGTCGACTCGTGGCTCTGTCACTTACCGGGTGAGCGACGTGGCCTGGTAATCCTGCCTCCCTGAGCCACTGTATTTGCATCTTTAAAATGGGATAGAGGTGACCCGGAGGCTTTGTGTAACAGCACTCTACTCTTACCGGCATTTGTAGGATTCTCTCAGGCTAGCCTTTCACTTTGCATTTCCCCTATGTGCTCCTATTCTCTTGGCCTTTCCCCTATGTGCTCCTATTCTCTTGGCCTTAACTCCAAGTAAGAGCAACTTTGAGATGCTCTTACTTCCTCCTTCCTGTACGACTATTTCTCTGCTGAAGTGGAGGGAGACCATGAATATGCTGTATTTTTGGAACCTTTCTTCCTGGAGGACACTCTTCTGAAATGATAGGAGCGGGGGAATAGTATGAGAAGTAAAAGGAAAATGGGCCCTGTGTTAGAAATGTCATCTCTTGGGTGCCCTGATCTCAAGGGCAGTGACCTTTCTCTCGTTGTTCTGACCTGTTCCTGCTGTGGCCCTGACCTGGGGGTGGAGCTCTCACAGGAATTAACTCATATTCCACTGCTATTAGCCTTGGGAAGTTAAAAAAAAAAAAAAAAAAAAAAAGAAAGGGGGGGGGGGGGGGCGGGCGGCAAGTAGTGCTAGTTTCATGGCAAAGATGAAAAGATCCGGACCACTCCTGATTAACCAGTTCATGAATTAGGCCCCAAAGCCCAGTCTCTGAATCCCACAGCATTTCTATACTTCTGCGAGGGCTTGAAAAACAGCATGTTTTCTTTCCTGTCCTACACTACCGCACCGTGAGGTTCTCCCACGCCCTTGCCCCGGCTCCGGCGGCCAACGGGCAGAAGTGGGCAGCCCGTCCAGAGCGGCGTGCCTGGCGCCCGGCAGCGGGAGCTACGTACACGACAGAGCAGGCGTAGCAGCCCTGTTTGCTGCTCTCCCGGACCAGGAAGGTGCCGTCTCGTTTCCCTCGGAGTAGGTTCTCCGCTTTGTTCCTGTTGCTGCTGCCCACGTTCCAGGTCTTCTCATCGTGGTGCGGCAGATCCTCATCATCTTCCACCAGCGAGTATTGGCTAGAGAGCCAGGAGAGAGAGAGGGTCTCTGTGAAGCACCCACCGGGGACGGCCTGCCCTGCCTCCCAAGCCCTGTGGGCCAGCAGCTGCGGCTCTGACTCCAGCAGCTTCTCAGGCCTGCCTTTCCTCATCCAGCTTCAGCCTTCAATGTGCCCCCCCACCACCCCCGGACAGAGAGCACCGGTAAGTTAAACTGCAGTCAGGAGCTCCACTGAGGAACCTGGGCAGAGAGGAAGGTGTCAACCAATCCTGTTCGTCCAGTTCAGATCAGGAAATGTATTGACTAGGAGGACTGCCAGTTTTCAAATAATTCAAACAAAATACATACTTAAGCTTTGGGAGATCCACTGAATGGAACTGTGTTGTGTTTTTTTTTCCCCGCCTCCCAACTGTTTGAGAAACCCATAGGGATTTTTTTATCTAGGTCGGCATCCCCCTTCCCTGAACTTTCCTTTTATAACATTCAGGATAAAGAGACATCGTTTATAGAAGATGTTCCAAATTCAGTAAAATTGCTCACTGTTCCGCAAACAAAGCAAGTCGTGCATTTCCCTAAAATGAAAAACCTCCTTTGCTGCCTCCCACCTGCAGTAAGTACTTACTCTTCCGTATTTTCATTGCCCAGCCACTCATTCAGCTTCTTCTGCCGAACACCTTTCTGAGTCAACCACCTGGAAAACCAAAGAAGAAAATGCATTAATAACGTAGCCTTAATTTTTGCAACTATCAGTTGGTGGCTTCCAGGGTTCGGCTTCTGGGACTTACATCAAGTATTGGTCTCTTGTCTTTCTCAGCTGAATGAGGTCTGGTTTAATGCTGTTCATGCGTTTGTCAATCTCCCGGTACTCAGCTGCCTGCTTCTTCAGGTCTTCCTCCAGTCTCCTTCTACTGTCCACAATTTCACTGATTCGGGACTTTAACTTCTCATAATTATGCATAATCCTACAGGCAAGTGAAAGGCATGGGTCATTACCTGCTCTATCATAATGGTTTCCCAAAGCTTTCCTCAAGTTAAGAATGCTTTCTTGGGCTGTCATTTTTTGTTGTTTTTTTCTTTCTTTCAATTATTCAAAGCACAGAAAGCAAGACCATCTTTCAACAGTTCTGGAGGATTCTGCTTATCTTCAGCACAAAGACAGCCCCCCTGATTCACCAACCTTTGTATTTCTTTCTCATTGCCTTCGCGTTTAAATTTTTCTATGTATTCTTTGCTGTACCGTTCCTGGCTTTGGCACTGTTCTTCAAATATTTTTATGGTTTCATTAAATGCTTCAATAGCTGTTCTTTTCATTTGGATTTCCTACAATACAATGTTGAATGAGACAATGTCATACCTTTCATAGAACAGATAACGTGTTACTGTGAGACACTGTCGGGACACTTGATGCTATTACTATCTAGCATCTGAGTACTCTGTTACCAAGCAAGGCCCCTAATTCATAAAACCCATTAAAATAGTATCAGAAGCACACATTTACTTTGGGAATTTTTCCAGTCTATGTCCTACAATTTCCTATAGTTTTCATTGTTTTAAAAGTCATTCCCCTTTATCAGCAATTTAAGGAATCCATGTTGCCTTTTACTCCCTCTGGTGGTCCTAGATACATCATAGCCCAGAGAAGATTAAGCCTCTAGGAAAATACTGCAGGGAACGGAGCTATTTTTTTATGACAGGGTATATAATAGTTAAATCTCCATTTTGGAGGTCAGACAAGTTTGTGTGTTGGGGGGCAGGGGGAGTTCAATCAGGAATTATGTCAAATCCACTTAAAACTCACAGCAACCTCTTCAATTAGCATGAGTACTTATTGTGAAATCGTTAAGAGCTTCATGGGAAAGCTTATGGAGATATACTATGGTCTAGAGAGCCTATGAATAAAAAACAGTGATTCACAAATATACGATCTTTTCCCCTCATCCGATTAGCAGAAACTGAAAGGACACGTCTTAGACTCTAGTAACTACAAGTTCTGAGCCTACAATGTGACTTTTGTAGAAAACTCACCTGGGAAGTACGGGTATAATCTTCATATAATCTATCATATTCCCGGCTTTTTTCTTGAAATTGAGTGTTATATTCATGTAATTTTTTCCCTACAGCTTCAATATTATCTTCTTTGACAACTTGATCCTGGAAAAGTGAGAGAGAGAACTTCAGCTGATGAAGTATTTAGTCAATGTTTTGGCCGATATCAAACTGTAGTAAAAAGTTGTTAAAATCTCATTACATGCAATTCATCTGCTTCACAATGTTTTTGAAACATTGCAAAGTATCTTGTCTAAATACTGTAACATGAGTATTCCAGTTTGGATTACCTGTTGGTATTTGGACACTGGATAAAGTAATTTCACGTCCAGTTTGGGATTATACTGAGCTAGAGACTCATTCCGGTAGTGGTTTATTAGTTCAACCACAGAGTTGAAGGTCAGTGGGTCAGAGAAGCCATATTTCCCATCTCGGTGGAATATTTTGATTAATTTGTTATTTCCTCCTTTCCTGTAGATACAACACAATAAATGGCATCACAGTCTTCTTTAAAAAAAAAAATGTGTTTTGACGTCTGCTTCCACAGCTCCATCTTTGTTACATTCCCGGACTCACCTTAGTGTAAGAGTATAATCCCCATGCATCTTAGTAGATGCGTCTCGTACCAAAAAGGTCCCATCAGCTGTATCTCGAAGTTTTTCATTCACTTCTTCCCTGAAAGGAAAATGACACAAGACAAAGCTCACTTTGAGGATTCAGTAACTGCTTTTTGTTTTTGGGAGTTTTAACTTGACAGCAAAACTAAGCACACAGTAGGCAGAGCTCCCTTCCAGCCCCCTGCTACCCACAGAGTGCATGTACTGTTTATATAGAAATGTTATAAAGTTCATCTCCTTACAAACTGGGAGCAACAAAACAACATACCCACTTTCAGTACTGGTGTAGCTGTGGTACAAAGTTTTATTTTGTAACCACATACACTGAGCACAAAAACACATAATCCCCAAAGGGACTCCTTAGCCCCCCTTCAAAAAAAAAAAAAGCGACAAATAAAGATGCCTTTGTAAAGTATGTGTCAGATAATAACACAAACCCTGACAGTTTTCCCTAATGGAAAGTGACTTTGGACCCTGCCTTTAGGCAGTGCCACTCCACCCGGGTGCTTTCCTGACATTTCTGTCCAGAATGAAACTTGTCAAGTATTTAATTTCCCATGGCATCCGACACCCACGGTCCCCCAGCACTCAGGGACTTCTCTGGTCTTCTCTGGAAGACAACCAACTATGCTTCGTGCTTATGTTGGAGGACATCCTAAAAATGGAACTTAGCATGCTGGTGCGTTTCTCTCTCTAAAACGAGCTCGCTCTCTCCAGTGAAAACTCAGAGCACTTATATAGCCTTACCTTGAGATATCTCCCCAGTACCACTCAGCATCTTGTAAGGACATATTGTTATTCATACCGTTGTTGGCTACACTAGTGGGTTTTGGTGGTTTAGGAGGCAATGCTGCAGATGAAAGAGAAAGAAAAGTTGTTTGTAATCTCAACTACAGTGGAACACTTAGGTCTAATTTATGTTTCTTTAGAATACTGTGAAATACAGCAGTAATTCTCAATTCTATGAAACCAGATCATTATGTTAAAAAAAAGGACACCTTTCAGAATATGGGTCAAAAAGAAAAAGTGGAAAAAGAGAGAACAGCTTAACAAATGAACCCGGCTGGCAATGTGAATGAATCCAGAGTCCCGGCATTTTCTACTTCTAGGCTCTAGTTATATTAAAGTTTCAGGCCTGATCAAATCCAGCTAAAAGAGGAAACCGTGAACATATGAGCAGGAGGAATCACATGGGTTGGCTTTAATTTCCTCCTCTTATTTAATTATAAAAGACAAATTTGGTTTCTGTCCTCCACAAATGCTGTTGCTGTAATAAAACTCATCTACAGCAATATGTTTTAAGAGGAGGAACTGGTTTTCTCTAATCTTAGTATTTCAGGCACTATTCTGCCAAAAGCCACTTTAAGAAACTCATCTGTGACCTAAATCTCTTTAGTATTCATGTTAATATTCTTTTGGACAAATTTGCTCTATATGCCAAGACTGAGGAAAAACTGTATCCCTCTTCCTCAATGTCAAATCAGTATTCATACACCAATTGGTGATAAATAAAAGACTGCAGTGTTTCTGAATTTCTTAATTGGGAGCAGGGCTAATATTGGAATACAGTTTAGGAAGCAAAATAAGGCTAACATTTTAACTGAATTCTAAGTCACAAGTTTTAAAGGACGAGTAGTACTTCATGCAAAAATTTCAGCAGTCTATCAAGAATATTTTGTAAAGCCTAGGACTAAATAAATAATGGGAAGCCAACTCCTTTTCTCATTACAGTATCTTAATATAAGAGCAGGTAAAGTCTCAAGCGTTTGATTTAGAATAGTTTCAAGTCGCCTAGGACTGAGTTGTAATCACTGCTAGGTTTTACATGCTTTCTAAAAGTACCAAGTGTTATCACTGCAAAGTACCACACTGTCCTCATCCACTGTCAAAAGAGAAAAGCAGCAGAAAGGACGCATCCTTTTAATTAAAGGAACAGTATGAACGATATACAACACTATAACCCAAACAGCAAAGGACCCCGGTTAAACAAAAGACACCAGTGAAAAAGTGGAATTCAATTCCTATCTGTTCAAGTAAGAAAAAGCATTCACCACATACAGGCTGATCTGCTTGCTTCCACAGGCAAACAATTTCATGTCCAAGCTATGATCAAGCTAATTTTTATTAAATTACAACAAGTTAATAAATAGAAATCTACAGAGGATCAGTTACAGTAGTTGTCAAAAAAAAAAAAAAAAAAACCCCACAAAATAAACTAGCTTTCTAAAAGCATACTGCAGTATTACCTGGTGGATCCATTTCTATATAAAACATCAAGTCTGTGCCACAATTTCTATCTGTCTTAGCATATTCTAAATCCAGGTCTTCCATATTCCAAACAGTGTTGTACATTTGTGCGAGAGTTTCCTTGGCTGAGCTCAGTTATAAGAAAAGAGTCCGGCTTTCTTTGTAATGGTGTCTTGGAATTCATTTTAAAACCTATAAGGGGCTGCACTGTAACCTATTACATCACACACCCGAGCCAATCAAGTCAGAAAAATGTCACCAGACCACTCCTGCTTCATCACTTCTCTTCAACATCCAGCCCTAACACAATCCCAACCTTGCCGAGAACCTACATTTACTAGACCAGCAATGTATGTACATGCTCATCGTTTCAAAAAGATGTTTGATTTGACTCTTCTCCACCACCAGTGAGTTTTCTAATTCCTTTTTTATTACTCTTTGTAGCATGGTACGCTCCGCTGTTGGCAGGTTGACAAAAGCTGATATGCTGCAGCACGTAGCTCCCCCCACCCCTCCCCCTCCAGTGCATCTGGGTTAATAGAGAGCCTGATCATGCCTTGGTTTAAAAATCTTACAAATGCATCAAAATGGTATATTTAAGGTGTATTTTACAATCCTTAAATACTTCCTGTATATATTAAAAGCAGAAGGGATCAAGAACTCTGGATATTTCATTTCATTCCTACCGAATTCACGGACAACTCAGAACTTAAACACTGTTACAAATGTACACCACATGAGAAAAGCACAATTAAAAGAAAAATCTACCAAACATAGTAAAGTTAAAACTAGACCTTAGGGAATAACAGTGAAAAATCTTAATAGGAATGAAGACATGTATATTCTTAGCAGACATTAAAATGTTACTAACAAGACTAGTCAAGGTAAGTTCTATCTTCCAAATAGAAGCCATTTATCAGAATGTAGAGGTAGCACGATGTTTGCAAACTATTTCTCACCAGCAGCACCAGAAGTCTGAAGATGGGCTTAATAGTGCTTAAGGGGGGAGAGTGATGTAATCACTTTTGAGATTTTTTTTCCCCTCCATCTCAAATTCCTCCTTCTGGGGACCCTTAATCCTGGTTAGCAATATGTAATGTAAAGAAGTCAATTCCCCTATAAATCTATTTAGTTCTCTAGAGCCATTCTACATATAATCCTTCTACCCTTACTAGAGCCTAATGCACATTCCCATTGTAAACCATCTCTTCACGTTTACAGTATAAATCAGAGGAAATAGTGGAGCCAAGGCAAGGCATTCTCTGAGCACTGTTCACTTGGCCCCATCTAGGTGAATTCATTTGCCCATTAATGAGGAAGACAGACTCAACCCATACCCTGCAGCCCGCTCCCGGGAACACTTTTCTATTCCTAAACTCAAAATCACACACACACATATGGTCAAAGTGGGGGTGTGGGATATGTCCTTCAGATAAGGTTCAGAAGAAAATTTTTTTAATACAAATGCATTTCCTCCCCCAAAAGGGAGTCCTGCCAGCAGCTGCGGACAGGCTAACAGCCCCAAGGGCCACCCCATGCCCATGCCTTCGTAGTGGGGAGCACTTGGTGTGAACCAGTCCTGCTGCTGGATCCCCTGTGGCAAACCAACCCAGGGAGGAGGGGAGGGAGACAGGTGATTTTCCACGTCTCTCCCAGGCCTGGCCAGGTCCCAACTTCCAGCCAAGCACGTTGTAATTACCTCCTTCCCCACTTCTAACCCAAACCCCATCTTTTCCTCCCACCGTGCCCCTCCAGGAAAGGGGGGAGTGTCTCCGCTCATCCCTTATCTGCCCTCCCCAGACAGCACTTAATCAGCCTCACTCACACACCCGCAAAGACAAACTACAGAAGAGGGAACCTTTCGCAGAAGTACACAAAGCAAAGCAGGGCAGCGGCGAGCGGGGCACAAGGGAGAGGCAACTTACTTTGCAGGTTATGCATGTCTGCAGCCCCCCGCGGCCAGGCGGGTATCCGACAGTGAGAACAATGCCTGCGGGCGCAGCGGCGGCGGCGGCGCGGGACCCTCGGGCTCGCGCGGCGCGACACGGACGCCGGGACGGGACCGCCGCAGCAGCGCCGCTCCCTGCCCGCTCCCCGCCGAGAGAGCCACTGGATGCTGGGGCTGCGGCCGGGAGGGGAAAAGCCCCGGCGCTCGCACGTCTCGCAGATAAAGATCACGGCTTCATGATTAACTTGGGCAGGTTCAAATATTTGCTGAGCTAGGGATTTCGGGTGGGGGAGGGGAGCCCGAGTCAAAGTCAAAGTTGTCATCGGCTAACAAGTGGCCACCGCCAGCCCCGCGCGCTCATGTTCGCCGAGGAAATGAGAAGGCCATTGTGGAGGGACCTAAAATAGTCTCTCTGACTGGCTGCGGCAGCGCGCGGGGCTCAAGTGGCCACAGTGAAGCGAGGCACTATGCGCGGCCAAACACAGGAAGTGGCTGAGCTAGTTCAGCAAAAATAGAATCAAAGCCTTGCTTGTAAAGGCCTGAACCGCTCCGCGCCGCCCAGAACACCGTGCCTCCCTCGGGGGCGCCTCCTCCCACACACAGCAGCACGGACAGCCCCGCAGGTGCACCGCGAGACCCCGCGGGGGAGCTCGCCAGGGCACAGGTTTGGAAAAGGCCTGCTTGTGGGAGGAGAGGATCCTCCGCTGGGTTCTCTACTCCACGACCACGTGAGCACTGGCCGATAAACCCCACTGTGCAGCTGCTCATACGGAGCCGACTTCAAGCCACGCTTAACCAGCCACAGGAGTGTCTGACAATGAAAAGGTGTGTCTGCATGAAATTCACGTGACCGCTAAACGGCGCAAAGGATAGGGCCAGGAGGACGGTACGCCTTCCCAGAGGATCTCTGTCCTCTGAGAAAGTGGCAATGAACCACACTAAAACTTGACCGACGAAAATTTTCACTGGCCTCAGGGTAAGATGGAGGGGTTTCCTGATATCCCCAGAACCCGTAACAATGTAAAGTCACAGAATCACTAACTCTAAAACCAGAGAGTAATTCTAAAGAGCACTTCAAGCAAGTCCCTCAAGCTACACTCTGGGAACCCTGGTCCGGAGGGCAGAGGGGTGAAGTGGTTTGCCCGGGATCAAGGCTGGAGCACCATAACCTAGCCTGCAGACTTCTGGTCCTAAACTTTTTCTCCACCCACTGGCCCTGGTCTTCACTTCCTTCTTTCAGAGAAAGTTAAAAGTACACATGAAACTGAGGTTAAATTCTTTTAGGCCACATGTGAAAAATTTCACACCTACAACAAAATTGACTTTTTCTGTTTTCTATTTTTAGCTTGGTTACAGTTTTAAAAAAACTACCTTCTAATTCTCCGTGAAGATACACGGGTCTAGCCATAGTATTTACCCTCAGACACATGACCCCGTGGTCCCATAGGGAGCTAAAGGAAGATCTAGGTGCTGACATCACATGCACGCAGGCAGGCCCCAGCTGCAGGATCACCCACAGTATCTGGGAAGTGCGCTAACCTCATGATGCAAGTGACTTTATAAACTTTCCTCTGGTGCAACTGATAGAGCATGAAAAACCTACTTTCCAATGGAAAGAAAAAAGTCTTTAAGTGGATCTTCCAGCTCCTGCCTGC